AGATCGCCGTCATTTGGCCCCACTTAAAACGTGTTGAGCTTGAAATTCGTACTATTTTGCAGTCTTATATTAGCTCTATGTTTCTTCCTGTCTCTATAGACCTTTGGCATCGAATTCAAAAGCCCATCTGAAGCCTAATAAGTAGCCAAAAATTTGGAGTAGAAAGTCGAATTTCATAAATTTTTCATAACACCCATTATATGTGAGAATCATATTCAAGTGATCCAATTAACCTTATTAATTTTTACCGAATCTAGTATATTTTTACTGATGAATTCAACAATGTAGTTTTTAGCGCTCTTAAATGTTCATTAGCTAATTTTATCTTCCTTAAAATGAATTTATGTAACTATTTTGCTTATACTTTTTAAAGTAATATCAATTTCATTGATTGTACTCTATTTCGTTTATTTATTCTTGTGAACATAGATACTGCTATATATTTTGTTTTGATTGCATTCTAATCTCTAATTTATCTGATTCAGATGTAGTTTCAGCTGCGTATGTCACTTCAGGAGAACAAGTACGATTAGCTGCATCTGGTCAAGGTCAAGTTCCTGGTGGTCCTGTTGGATCGAGCCCCGTCGAAAAAAGCAAACGTATTACTACTCCATACCTTACAAAGTATGAAAGAGCCAGAGTTTTAGGGGCCAGGGCTTTGCAATTATCTATGTCTGCTCCTGTTATGGTTGAATTGGATGGAGAAACAGATCCACTTAAAATTGCAGAGAAAGAACTTCGTGCTAACAAGATCCCCATCATTATCAGACGTTATTTGCCAGACGGAAGTTTTGAGGATTGGAGTTTGGATGAACTTATATTAACCGAGTGAAATTCTCAAATATGTACATTTTTTATACATTACTTTATTTTTTATGGAACTCACATTAACTCAAACTAATGGATTAATTTCTTCACAGAAAAAGTATCGGGAAATTCGTATTTTGGAAAAAAAATCACTTTTAAAGCTTTATCAATCTTCATCTTCATTGAGATGGGCTGACCTTGTTTTCTCAACTTGACCTTCTTGTCAGGGCATCTTAGTTTGGTGCACCTTGTCCTAAGTCCTCTGCTATAGTAATTGTCATAATTCCTGCGTCGAACTGTACATTTGGTAAATTACCAGACTTTTCGCGGGCATCGTCTTGCTATTCTCAGCGCTAAGCAACAACTCGTCGAAGAGACGGCCTTACGCTGGGAATTATGATACATACTATATCAGAAGACTTCGGTCAAGGTCAGTCCAACTAAGTCCCCCTTACAACACGGCCAAGTTTGGCAAACTAGGTCAGTCTACTTTTGTACATCGAAAGGGGATTGCGACCATGCCAAGAGCTGCACCATTTTGGTCTTCATATCTTCGTATCATCGTTGTTTTCCCTTTTTCGAATATCAATTTGAATTAGTAGTACGGCCCACAAGGAATTTATTGCTGCATTCTAGTAGCTATCTCCGATTAACCATTTATTTTTTACAAATATATTCGACAAATATGTCATATAGGCATTGTTAAGTGAGTTTCGCTTGACGAAATGAATTTAT